TCTCGGCTCACTGCAACCTCCACCTCCTGGGTTCAAACAATTCTCCTGCCTCAGCCTCCTGAGTAGCTGGGATTACAGGCACGCGCCACCATGCCCAGCTAATTTTTTGTAGTTTTAATAGAGACGGGGTTTCACCATGTTGACCAGGACGGTCTCGATCTCTTGACCTTGTGATCCACCCGCCTCGGCCTCCCAAAGTGCTGGGATTACAAGCGTGAGCCACTGCGCCCGGCCAGAAGTCTGATATTTCTTATTCTTACTGATAGGCTCAACCAATGGGACATTGATGGGTAAATGTGCAAGGGGCTTAGGGCACAGCCTGGGTGCAAAGTCAGAGCTTCCCAGAAATCCTTGTATCATGAATTTCTTCAGGCACAACCCAGCTTGATGTAAGAATGCCAACACAGCAACACAAATACCAATTCTCCTTAAATATTGTAATTAAAATCAAACCATTAGAATAGGCCAATGAGAGGGATGATCATTTGTTTTGTGAAAAAATTATCCCTCTATTTCACTTATTTTAAATATCAAGTCCTCTTTGCAAGCCAAGTTGAATAAGATTCAATTTAGAAAAGTTCTGTGAACTCACCACTCTTCCCATGAACCCATCTCTTTCCATGCTGAGGGTGGTTAAATTCCCCACAGCATTTTACATAGATTAAGAGTGATTATCCAAATCTTACATAAACTTTAAAGATGTTCACTCTTTCTAGTTATGTACATCCAAGACTTCCAGAAAAGAGACATCACAAGGAGTGAATTAGTTCCCTTTTTCCCTTAAATCTGTGCTCTATATGACCCAAGAACCAGATATAATCATGCCCAGGTGAGCTGAATCTAGATCATAGAGACCCCTCCTCATAGCACACCTTTTGTGGATTAACTGGAAAAAGAAGTAGACTAGAAGTCAGAAAACAGATTCAGCTGCAACCATTCACAGTGAATGGCCTTTTTCTTTTTTGATCTTTTTTTCTTTTCTTTTTTTTTTTGATGGAGTTTTGCTCTTGTTGCCCAGGCTGGAGTGCAATGGTGCAATCTCGGGTCACTGCAACCTCCATCTCCCGGGTTCAAGCGATTCTCCTACTTAGCCTCCGGAGTAGCTGGGATTTCAGGCATGCGCCACGATGCCCAGCTAATTTTGTATTTTTAATAGAGACTGGGTTTCTCCATTGTTGGCCAGGCTGGTCTCAAACTCCTGAACTCAAATGATCTGCCTGCCTCGGCCTCCCAAAGTGCTGGGATTACA